CTCGGCAATTTGCATTCTAGGGCGGTACTACTGGGGCCTGGAGAATTACAAATATTATGGTACCAGCTTCCTCTGATAATTATGCGATCGGGCACCTAAACTAGACTTAGAGAGTTTGTCGGAAATTATGTAGGATGCTACCCCCCACATCATTTTCCAAAATATGGAAAATTGGATATTATCCATTTCTATTTGATGCTCCATTGTTGAGGTAATATCCGCAAACCCTAAACAATCCCTGTATAACCCTTAAAGCGCAGGATTGTGCTGGGCCCCGTAGTTTTGTTGGGATTAGGGCTCATGCTTCAGAGCATGGTTTCATCGTGACTGTTATTGCTATGCCACTTTTGTTTTAATCGGTTATTCCCTAAACCCTAAACCTTTTTTGCTACTACAAGTATTACTACAAAACATACTCACCCTCGACCCTAAACCCTAATCCCTAAATCAAACCCCTAAACCTTAATCGAGATGTTGTCGTGGAGTTTGTATAGCTAGAGGCAAGTTCAACCCAAACTCATCCGGATGCTGGCTAAGCAAGGCCTGCAGGTTAGGTTTTAGGGTTATATTGGGTTTAGGGTTTAGGGTTATATCGGGATGATGGAAAAGAAAATGGAAGCTATTATCGTATATGGGGTTATACTGGGAATATACTCGGATAATGGAAAATGAAATGGAAACTACAATTTAGGGTTTAGGATTTAGGGTTTAGGGTGTAGGGCTTAAAGTTTAGAGTTAGGGGTTTAAGGCCAGAATGAATATGCAAGGGCCAGGAACAGGGTCACGGATTCCGCGGCAGCATAAAGCCTCGACCCTGCAAGTCTGGACGTTGAGTGGGAGTTTCCCAAGTTAGTACCATTTTAGGGGTCCCTAGAGTAAGGATTATAGTATTTGGGGGTCTATTGTGGGGTCCCCTATTTAGGGAAACTACTGAATACCTAGGATGCTTCATTCCTTCCTTTTCCAAGAGCTGCTAGGACTGGATGTCTACAAGAGGTAAAAATCTACATCCTGAATACCTGACCCCTAAGCCTGAAACCGCGGGTCGTAAACCCTGAACCCTAAATCCTAAACCCTAAACCCTAAATCCTAAACCTCAACCCTAGGGTCTAAACTCTAGACCCACTGCGTGAGTGGTTCATCGAGCATGCTAGCACAGGGGCTGCTGAACCTGAAATCCTAGCCGCTGAACCGTGAATCCTAAACCCTAATCCTGTAGACCGTAAGCCCCGAAATCCTTCCTTAAATCCTCCCTTGAATCCTACAGCCCGAAACTCTACACCCCCAAATCATGCTAGACCCCGATTCCTGTAGGGCGGCGGCTTCGGCAAAGGCGGTGGCAGCAGGTGCGGAAGCTTCAGAGGGCCTAAGGGTTTAGGGTTTAAGGGTTTAGGGTTTAGGGGTTTAGGATTTAGGGTTAGCGGTTTAGTGTTTAAGGATTTAGGGGTTTAGGGTATCAGTTTTGGAGAATTGTTATTGGGGATGCTATTGGATGGCAAAAGTTTTGTGCATAAGGTCTTGGTTTGAGTAGTACTGGAAATGGGGATACTATGGTCCCCTAAGAATGTGGGATGAAATTGATAACGGTTGTTCGAGGATGACAATGCCGAAGCATGAGTAATTTCCAGTACTATCCCTTTGTGGCTAGAGTTCATCTTGCCCTCGACGTATTTAAGCCCCTGCATGAGGTGACGCATAATTCCCTCCTACATGAACCCCCAAAGCATGAGAATCCCTTCCTAAACCCTAAACCCTAAACCCTAAACCCTAAACCCTAAACCCTTAGGGCCCCCAAAGAGGGGCCCCTGATTTTTGAAAACATCCATATCGAAGTGTGCCGGAGATTTCCAAAGGCCGTCGCACTAGTCTTCAGATACTTTGCGTCAAGCCCAACAAAGCGCAAAGCCAACCCAAGCCAGCAAATGACATAAGATGGACTTTCGAATGGACCGTAGGCTTAAAGCCTAAACCCTAAACCCTTAACCCTAAACCCTAAACCCAGCTTGGGGAAGGGAATTCTTTAGGCGTTACGATGCTGTCCCCCGCCCACCGCACAGAGTTGGAATCCTGCTAGGCCGTAGGGTTTAGGGTTTAGGGGGGATTTAGGGTTTAGGGTGTTTTCTTCATTAGCTCCTTAAAGCCTGGAGTCACCTTTTGAGGGATGGTATTCTAATCCCTGAATTCTCATGGACGCCTGGGGTCTGGCAGCCACCTTCTCCATTATTTGTGAAACACCCCTAAAGCCCGAACCCTAAACTGTAATCCTTTCAAAAGTAGTTTCCTTTTTAAATTACCCTTATAGGTGTACGCAGGGTACTATCCCCAAGCCCTAAACCATAAATAGTAGTTATCCTAAAGCCCTAGAACCCTAAAACCCTAAACCCCTATTATTAGTCATTATCCTAAAGCCCTAAAGCCCTAAAACCCTGAACCCTACATCCTAAACTTGGAGCGAGGATCTGCCGTCAATTTCAGTACGGTCGGTGCACCTGGGGTCCAAAGCTCAGCTGAAAGGCTCAAAATCAAAGGTCTAGGGTTTAGGGTTAAGCGTGAAGGGTTAGAGTTTAGGGTTTGGGGTTTCAGTTCAAGGTTAAACTGGAGGGTATTTGTTGCTTAATTCATCAATCAATTGAATACTTATTGAGAATTCCAGAAAACACCCTGATTCATTGATGGGTGGCCGCTTTTGGGTAGTCTTTTCAAAAAGTGCTCTTCCGGATTTTCACCCCCCTGAACTGGTCATTTTGAACCTACGGGGTGTTTTGATATTACGGGGCTCCGAATATCTAGGTTGGGACGAGGATATTTCTAGGCTGTTAAACCCTAAACCCCAAAACCCTAAATCCCAAACCCTAGGCTGTTCATGGCAGAGTTGATCGCCCCACCGCATCCCCTCTGTCCTCAAGGAGGTTTCTGATCAGTTTTGTTTTTACTTACGGTAAAGTTTGCCATAAGCCCTAAACCTAAGGGTCCAAGGACCCAAATAATAGGGTTTTAGGGCCCAAGTACCAGTAATATTATAGTATTTGCGCCCTAAAACCCTATTATTTGAGTCCTTGGACCCTTAGGGTAAACCCTAAGCCTGTACTTGTACGGAAGTCTCGAATTTTGAGAACTGCCCTCATACATTCTGCTGCAGCTGTTCTGAGGTGAGAACTGCCGCTTTATCCACGAGAGACAATGAAAGTGAGTGGGCCAAACATATGGCTGAATTACATCCACCAGCTGATGACGGTGTCTTTAGTTTTGAGAGGTTTCCATTTGTCTGACCTCAGACCACACCCCAAGCCTTGTTAGACCTAAATCACGACCTCTGATCCCCAAGCCGTACCTGCCACATATGTCCCCTTAGAAAAGGACACTTTACATGTGTAGATTTGAACATGTTTTGATTTTTATTGCCCTGAAGACTTAAAAACCTCCTTATAAAGCCACGACAACAACTTGAATTTTATAGGGCCCCCAAACCTAACTCAGTTTAGGTGGACCACCCACCCAGCAATAGTGTCTATAATGGAAAATGGTGATCATATCAGGATCCTCATATTCCTGTCTGTCATACCACTATTACAGGGTGGTGGGTTCCACCTAAAGGGCGACTGCGTCTTTCCAGCCCTTTACGCTGGGATCCCTTAGTCGGTAGGGGTCCGCGCATCCCGAGTCCTAAGCCTCCAAAACTATAGTCTCCCTTAAGTAGATAAAATATTGGGGTTATATTGGGGATTATATAGGGAGAATGGAAAAGAAAATGGAAACTACTATTTAGGGTTTGGGGTTTAGGGGTTATAGTCTCCCTTAAGTAGATAGAATATGGTTTTGGGTAAATTATGATAAGATCCCCATATACCCCATATTCCATCTACTAAAGGGGCACTGTAATCCCTGAAGACCAACTAGGCTTACAATGACTGAGCATCCGACTTTAACTAGTTCAAAATTAGCCAAATCGAAAATCCCATCCCAAACCCTCAGTAATTGCACTAAACCCTACATCCTAAACCCTCAACCATCCATTTAAAACAAACCCTACATTTGTGCTGGTGGCTGGTTCCTACGGCCACATCTCGCGGAGAGCCACCAGGGCTGTCGAAAGAAAAAGTTGCTCCAGGCCAATGAACCATGCCCTGACTGGAATTTCTGGAATTGAAGCGGGTAGGAGGGATGTACCCTGATGGAATGGGATAGGGACTTGTTTGGTGATGGGCCACGACCTTGTACCACCTATTTAAGCCACTGTTGCATGTTTCCTTTTTTGTACCTTGTGCGGGGCCAGGTGTCGCTGATATGATCCTATCATTTTGGTGCTGCCATGGTTTTTAAACGTTATTGTTGTTATTGGCATTCTGTGTGTCATGAGCTCACTGCTGTTGTTGCTGTGACGATGGTGCATCTTGACATGCCCTGTAGCCGCTGACATTACGCCCTCCAGACTTGGCAGGCCCAGCACCAGCTGTTCAGTAGATTCAGGGCAATGGACAGGGACGCGTAGAAGGCACCGAATATTGTTCCAAGATTATTCAGCTTATCCTTGCCTCACAGTTGCAATGCCATGCACTTTCTAGAACTGAGAACCAGATGGAAAAGAATATTGAAAACAAAATGGAAGCTAGGGGTAGGCTATCCATGTTGTTGTTTCTTAGCAGACCTCATCACATCTAACTCATCAGTTCATCTAATTGCAAATTGGCCCCTGAACTCTCAACCCCCTGCGAAGAATGCGACCGCCGATGCCTGCCGTACCAGGGCTCAGAGCAGGAGGCTACATCGCAAATCCTTTCGAATTACAAGGGGTGGAGAATCCCACTGAAAGCACTTTTCATGTAGCAGGGCATTCTGAAAGCGTAAAAAACTGGGTTGCTGTTAAGGAACTTAAACTCAGTTGCTATATTGGGGAACCCTATTATTTACTATATATACCCATTATGGTAACTTAATTTAAGTTCCTTAACAGCAACCCAGAAAAGCGGCACCAAGTGCTGCTGCTCAGTTGATCCAGGGCCATGGTCGAAGAGACACAGAAACCACTTCTGGCGGAGGCCAAGAAGGCAGGCTCCAATGGGAAGAAGGCACGCTACCTTTTCGGGCCCGTCTTAAGGGGTTTAGAATACAGTAGGCATTGCATGATGAAGCTTTTTCGAAACTGGTATTCCCTGGAAGGGTGGCTCTGGCACACCAATGTCCACCGCGCTGAATCTCGCGGCCTCTTCGATGGGGACCGGCTTGCTGACGCTGCCTCATGCCTTTGCGTGCTGTGGTCCTGTGCTGTGCACTCTCCTGCTTGCGATCCTTGCGCTGACCACGGATGTCACCCTAGTCCTACTCATACGGCTTGGGCGGCACTTGGGTGTCTCAACCTTCGGCTCCCTGATGCAGCGACTCTTCGGCAAGAACGGCTCAGCTTGCTTCCAGCTGATGTTGATCTCCGTCTTGTTCTTGGCCCTCACAGCCATGCAGCGTGTGGTCCTGGACCTTCTGCCCATCTTCATGGAAGCCGTGTGCGGCCTCAAAGTGTCCCCCCTGGGGCTCAGTATGATCGTAAACGTCTTCGTGCTCTCGGCCTGCTTCTCTGGCAGCTACCATGCCTTGAGGCGGGCATAGCAATTATCGACAGCGGGCCCTCCCACATACCCTATTGATACTATAGTCCTCTTTCAGGGAGGAAGGCCGATCATCTTCAGAAACTCTCCGGAGCCCCGCATTATTATCCGCATGGACGCCAAAAGCCCCACATCCTTCCATGATTTTGAGAAATCTGAACGTATTCTACCGCCCTTGAAGACTGGCATTGTAAACCCTGAACCCTAAGCCCTAAACCCTAAACGCTAAGCCGCCAGGTTTACTTCCGGCGCCGCGCTGCTTTGCTTGGTTCCATTCATCGTGGCTGGAGCCTGCTTAGAAACACTAGGTACCCCAGTAGTCTGGGTTGCTGTTTAGGAACTTAAATTAAGTTACTGTATTGGGGAAGCCCTATAAATTACTATATATACCCATTATGGTAACTTAATTTAAGTTCCTTAACAGCAACCCAGTTATTTGGGGGTCTCCTTATTAAAGCTGAATAGTAGGAAAAAAGGTACCCTTATCACTATGGGGTTACTGGGGAACCCTAAGCAGTTGAGGGTTTACGAGCCGCCAGGTTCAAACATTGAGCAGCCCGCATTTCCTAGTGTAGCTTATGTCCGCTCAATCCATTTGGGCCCACAGGCAATATTTAATACAGGGAGTGGGTGGTGTCGAATTTGAGAGACCCCTGTCTTAAAACTGTTTTATAAACCCACAGTTTCTAGTTCAGTTTCCATTTGATTCTCCATTACCAGGGTACAATGCTTATATATAACCACAATATAACCCCTATCATAGAGACAGCCTTATACTCTTGGGTTTGGCGCATGGAGTTCGCAGCTTATGCTCTGATGTAGGAGCTTAGACTCTAACCCCTATAATGCCCTACATAACCCTATATATAGCTATATATAGCAGTTTTTCTTTTCCGTTTGACTCTCTGTTATTAAGGGGGATACTAGGAGTTTAGACAACGGCCCATGTGAACCCTAAACCCTGGGTCCTAAACCCTAAGCTCTGAACCCTAAACCCTGAACCCTAAACCCTAAACCCTAAACCCTGAGTCCTAACCCTAAGCCCTAAACCCTGAACCCTAAGCCCTAAACCCTAAGCCTTAAACCCTAAACCCTCATTCAGGTGGCCCTTGGCCAAGATGCCTTGGATGGTTCACGGCCACCCCCGCCGCGCCCTGCCTCCGAGTCGGCCTCTCTGCATCTTCGCCCGCGTTGGAATTAGGGTTTCGGGTTGCTTTGCTTTTGAGTTTCGGGGTTATATTGGGGCTATATAGGGATAATGGAAAAGAAAATGGACACTACTATTTAGGGTTTAGGGTTTTGGGACCCCTGATGAATAAACCTCCTCCTTTTAAGGGCTTTAATATTAGCATCCCTATTATAATCCCATTACGGGGAGAGGGTTTATTAATCATGGGTCTACATTTCTCAACATTAAGGATTTTGAACGCAGATGGCCTTGCTACCTATCTCCTTGTATGTACACAAGCCATGTGCCTTGGTCGACAACTTCGCATCCTAGTCTCCGAATCTCTGCAGCACTACTCTCTCTCTCTCTCTGTCCATCTCATTTGAAACCCTTTAGCGGGGGGCAAGCCTATTCGTACAATGTCTCCTGGGCAATTTCGCAGCTGATGCAGACTCATCAAGGGAGGTAGCCCGGCAGGAATAGCGACACACCCCGTCAAAAACTCAGAAGCAGCCAGCAGCACTTCTTATCCAATACCCTGGTGCTATCACTCAACAGTGCAAGCTGACTCGACCTGTTCCCGCCACACTGGACACTTGGTGTAGGCCTCGCTTTGGGTCTACAGCAAATACCGTGGAGGCCTCTCAGGATCCAACACGCCGAGCGGAGCTTTCAGATGCTGCGGATCGAGACCCACGGCTCAGTGGCGGTAGAACTGGCAGTGTGCCCAACCGCTCGATGGCTGGTTGCGCATCCTCCTTCAAGACAATGACTTGGGGCTCCGGTGCCTGTTCGCCATCTGCGTAAATATATTCTGTGACATTGAGGTCGGTCGGTAGCTCCATGCCCTGCAGGTATTCCTTTAAAGCTGTCAGCTCTCGACGCTCAAAAGTCTTATGGGACTTTTCTTCCTCCAAGGCCATGCCTTCTCGCAGGAGTCGCCGACAAACATCCTGATATCGCCCCGAGCGGTAGTCTAGCTTAGGACAGAGCCACTGCAGGAAATCGTTGTCTGACAGTTCTGCTTCCGGACCGGGTTTAAAGCTCTCCCAGTGGAGGTACTCCTGCAAGAGAATGCGGAGAGTCGACACTTCCGGAATTTCGTCTTGCCGCAAACACTCACAGGCGTCAGCGCTTTGTACGGGTGCCTGCAACCTCTTTTGCAGCATGCGGAGCAGCGCAGCATCATCTTGTGGAGCTGCTCGGAATGACACCCCCAGCATCCTGCAAACCAATCGTCGCTCCTTGGGAGCAAGGGCCACAAGCAAGCGCTCTCGCTTCACCTTGTGCCCGAACCGATTCCGGTATCCAAGGACAAGGCCGGCCAAGACTGAGTCGTAGCAGTTAAGGCCACCAGAAGCCTCGAGGACGCGCCGCAGCTCTTCTTCAAGACGTGTGCGCCTGTCGTCCGCTTGCGAACTTTCAAAGATGCACTGAAAGATCCTGGGCCCTGCGTTAACTAAGGCGATAGTGGACTTGCGCAATTCCTCTACCCACGCCCTCACTGCTTGTGGCCGGCTTGTTTTGGAGGTCAGTTGCAGGAACTGGCTGGTCTGCTGCCACAAGTCGAGAGCTGGCAAGCCCATGAACTGTCGTTTCACGAACGGCAGCTGCACTTGCACGAAGAGCTGAATGTTGTTATGCACACATAGGAGAAGACGACACAGCAGTCCATGCCATTCCGATGCTTGGAATCCATGGCCTGCCTGTGCCAACAAGTTTCGAAGGCTCCGCTCTCGCTCTACGCTTTCGACGCCCATGCTGCGCCATTTTGGTGACGGTCGCTCTTGCAGGGCTCTGGCCTCTCGGAAACGCAGGTAGTTGGGCCAAAGGCGCTGCAGAATTTCAAAGTGTCGTGTTTCTTCAGGCCAATCATTCGGCCTGTAAGTTCGGGGCTCCTCAGAATCAGAGCCCTCAGAGGATGTCTCCTTTGCCGGCTTGCCCGGATTCCTGGGCTTTTTGGCCGTTTTGGGCCTCGGCTTGGGCGCGAAGATGTGGGCAGAGGAGCAGGTGGCAGCCGCCCCCCGATAGAGAGCTCCCGCAGGTCGAGCCCAAGCTGGCGTGCCTACAGGGTAAATGGAAACTACTACACTGGGTAATATAGGGTATATAGTGGTTTTTTGTCTAAATGTCAATTCCCAAATGAAGGCTGTTTTGGTACTATTCCCTATATAAACCATTGAGATCGCCCAGGTGCCTAGGCTGGAAAAGAAATCTTCCTCATGCACCGGGAGCTGCGTTGCTGGCTGACCAATGCTCCAACATAACAGCTCATGCACTAATCGTCGGTCCCAGGCTTCGCGGGCCTGCCAAAGCCGCAGAAAACGACGCAGCGTGACCAGCTCCCCAATTCCGTTCAAAGTGACTTCCTCGTCAGCCTGTTCCAACTGGCTGGCCTCCAACTCTTCCGTTTCTGCCTCAGCCTGTAGCGAATCAATCTCCGGGTACTTAGGAGCAACCTGCGCTTCCGGCAGTTCCTCAAGTGGCTCCTCCTTTGTCGTCGGCTCCTGAAGGACGGACGGAAGGTCAACTACATCGAGAGTCTCGAGCGGCTGAGGCACACAGAGCAGCTTGCTCCGCTTGCGCTTGGGCATGGCACCAACCCATCCACATCCCCAGCCCTCAGAGAGCCAAACAGCTATGAAGGAGGGCAATCCGCTGAGTCATTGATATGACTGCGCTGCACAGCTTCCCGCTTGATCCGAACCTAGCAGGACCCAGCCGCTTCGCATGTCGGCCAGAAGCCATGCAGCAGCTCAGTCCGGGGCAGTTGTGCTCTGTCAAGTGACTAAACATGCCGAGAGATGTACGAGCGTGATGCCTTATTCAAGCTAGGGTGCTGCTTGCAAGCCAGTTCACATTGAGCATCTGAAGCAATCACTGCTAGCGAGCTGACTCCAAGCCAACATCTGCGTAATGGCTGCTAAGTACGGTTGAAAGACCCTGTGGCCTAGCTGCGGAAGAAACGCTAGCTTGAGCTTTACACGCCATACATGTCAAAGCCAACCCATGGAAGAGGAATCTGGCATCCGATCATCCCTCCCAATAGCTTCCCAGAACCCCATCTTGTTGCAACAGTCCACTTTGTCACAAGTCGTCATGGACTGCAGCCCTATTTTGGGCTGCGCCCTGCGACCTTGCGTTTGAAGGAGGCCCGCATTCTCCGGAGAGTGGACTCTGAGGTAGGTTACATTGATCAGATCTGAAATGGTACATCACTCAATATTTGTATGGAATGTTCGCGCATGTAGGTCGCATGGCTCCCTGCATGCTTGCAACCATCCCATTCACACCTTTCCTCCAGAGCCCTCACAGAGCCGCTGCTAGCCCCAGAATCCTTCGTCACCCTTGCGTCTGAGGAGCATTGGTAAGTGGAGACCCATACTTTAATCCGTACCTGTTATGCCATACAAGGCAAAGGCGCAAACCAGCTTCTCCGGTCTGGCTTCAGGGACAAAGGACACGCTGCCTCCTGGTGAAACCACTGCGATATGCAGGCTCTGTCAGTGGCAGGGTGAGGCACCTTGAGATCCATCTCTCAGGCTGTTTGGCGTTGCAGGAGCCCCTTTAGAGCAATGAATCCCGCAAACGCGAAAGACACATAGAACTCACAAGGAGCATGAAGGAAACATTCCAAGGGAACCAGGCGTGAATGCCAAGTCAGCCGCCACAAATGAAGTTACGCTGTTGGCATTGCTTGGCATTGCTTAGTGCCTACCTTCATGCTCACAATCACAGCATCAGATACTAGCATCTACTTCATATGGCTCATCAGCTCATCTCGCACGAAGCTCGTTACCTGAGATAAGTCTGGACCAGCAGTGGTGATGCTGATCAGGTGTGCGAACAGTCATTTCCCATGACCTGCCGTGACGCATGCACTCGATACTTCAATGCAGAAGGAGCTGCAGTTGATCCAGAACCATCAGATGCTCTCAGTATCATCGTGTCCTTAGCATGAGCAGGCTGCATGATCTCCAAGATTGGCTACACTGATTATCTCCTTGAAGCTAAATGGAAACATCTGTGGCAGCACAGGATTCACCGGGCAATGAGGCGGCCGAGGTTCATTCTCTGCAAGGAAACTACCGCCTTCCTGCGCAAGGTTTGATGCTCCCTCTCCGTCTCTAAGCCCTCCAGACCAACATCTACAACTATGGCAAATTCAAATGCAATCGGCTATCATCAGCTTCCTGGCCCGTGTTGCCAGCACAGCTCTGTTCTCCCAGGGTACCGCCCTTCTGTGCCTTCCACGTCAACAATCGTCGATGCCCTGATTCTACCCTTAAAAGACTGTCGGCGCAGCAGAGTCGCTCCTAACAGCAGAGCTGATGACAGGACACAAGGCCTCCCCCCAGACAGGAAAAGGACAGGAAATGACTTAGGGGACAACAAACAAATTATAAGAAAGTGAAAATAATGAAAACATGAAAAAAGACAGAAAATGACAAAAGCCTGAAACCCTCCTCTCTTTTCTAAAGCCTGGATGCCCCGCCCCTCTCTCACCCCAGCCCCCTCGGCCAGCCGGCCTCTTTCCCCATCTCCACCCTCCGGCCCTCTCCCGCCAGCGCCCCCCAAAGGGCCTGGGAAGGAGGAGGGGGAAGAGGTTTGGGAAGGGCGGGGACGGCGAAAGATTTGGGAAGGATGATTGTGCGGGTTTCTGAGAAGATGCTGCAGCGATCCACACAAACAAACGACGATGCAACAAGAATGACAACAAAAACGATTGGGCAAGATAGCCAAGAAACGACAACACAACGAACATGACAACAATTTTTTGGCAAAAAAGGAAAAAAAACGACAGCACAGCGCTTGACAAAGAAAGACTGGGCAAGATGACCACAAAATGACTCCAAAATGACCAAAATATTATTCTGGCATCGTACAAGACCTGCAGCAAACAATCTCATAATTCTACCCAGATGCGTCACAAACCCACAATCTCCCTCTGCCCATGATCAGCTGTCGGTCACTAAGTCCGTCGGAATTGGCATGGAAGACGTGAAGCCTATGCTTGCCTACTACATGACCTGTAATTAAATGGCCGGTGGGTGGGGGCAGAAACAGGAGCTAGGAATGGGAACATTTTTTGTTGTCGAAGCCCTCATGATGAAAGCTTGGACAGGAGAGGTCGCAGCCAAGGCAGCTATCCCGTGTCAGCTTTTACTTGACACGCCTTGCAGTCACCATCTCTGCACACACGCACACACTTCCTGAAGGTATGTTAACTCACTCTTCCAAGAAGTTGCGCCTGACAGCACGCATCATCTAAAACTACTAGTGACCTCTAGACATGCATACGAAAGCCCAGACCAAGGCTGTTCGAACAGCATCAGATACATCCCTATAGTAGTTTCCATTTTATTTTCCATTCTCCCAATATAGTAGGTGTTTGACGAGCCCTGTCAATCTGTCCTTCACAGCTCGAAGTCGCTGCAGCATGAAGGCATAAGGATCTGCCTCGGTTTAGGGTTTAGGGTTTAGGGTTTTAGGGTTTGATGCTAGGAGCCTACCATGTCTTGGAAATTTCTAAAAACAAAGAATACAAGCACGAAAGTAGGCTGAGGGCAGTAGCCTTAAGGTTCTATACCCTACACTCCAAGGGTCATCTTCCGAAGTTGCGTGCTGGTTTGCTGCAATTCAATACCATGCATGAGCGCGCAACAATGGGAAGTAGTACTAGTACCAGGAATACTAATCCCCTCCCCTAGTATTAATCCCCCCACCCCCCCCCATTATTATATACACCCACTATGTGGCAAATTGCGTATAATCTATTGCGAGTATTTAATATTAGTGGGGGTGGGGGCTTAATACTAGGGGAGCAGATTAATCCCTAATCTAAAAAAAACTGGTTCTCGTTGGTTTTTTCCCGGGGCTAGCTAGCTTTGAACCCTAAGCCCCAAACCCTAAACCCCAAACCCCAGACCCTAAACCATAAACCCCAAACCCTAAACCCCAAGTATAACATTCATCCGGGAGGCTGGTTGCTCCCTCAGTAGTTCTCCCAACAGCGCCTTGCAGGCAACGTAGCACCGGCAAGGGCTGCAAGATGCTTCGCGGTAATGGAAGCTACTATGGTATATTAGGGGCCGTTAAAAGGGGTTCTATCGGGGTTACATTGGGGTTATATAGGGATAATGGAAAATAAAATGGAAACTACTATTTAGGGTTTAGGGCTTGGGGTTTAGAGATTAGGATTAAAAAGGCCCCTCCCCATAATAGGGATTATAATGGGGATCCTAATATTTAGGCGCTTAAAAAGAGGGGGTTTATTAATCAGGGGTCTGCATTAGTACAGCTGCAGTTGTAGTAGTTGAAGGAGTAGTAGTAGTAGTAGTAGTAGTTGAAGGAGTAGTGGTAGTAGTAGTAGTCGTAGTAGTAGTAGTAGTAGAGTCGTAGTAGTAGTAGTCGTTGTTGTTGTTGTTGTTGTAGAAGCAGCAGTAATAGTAAGAGCAGTGGAAAGAGTAGTAGTAGGAGCAGTAGCAGGAGTAAGCGTAAGAGGATTGTTCTCAAAGTTCACATCAAGTAGTCATCCGCCGCGAAGGCCAAGATGAGCTTGCCATTAATGAATGGGGTAAAATTGTGATATCCCATCTGGCCCAGATATCTGGATGGGTACTGTTTCTGATTAAGGAGAGCATGTAATGTCATTTCTTTGACTATGACTACTGCTATTACTACTCCCTCTTCTTCCTGCTACTACTTCTTCTACTCCTACTGGGTCTTCTTACCACTGATCCTGGATGACTCAAATCGGCAGTCTCTCTTTGAGGCCCCCAAAGAAAGAGCCTTGCGAGAACACACCTCTGAAAATCTGTTTAGGGAGAGTTATTAACGCGATGCTTCCATTACTTAAAGTCAACAAAATGCCCTTCAGGAAGCAAAAACCAACAAAGCACTTGCTTTCGCGGCTGCCTGAACGTTGTCCCGTGCTTGGTCCTGCACTGCCGGCCGGTCATGAGCAGAGAGATGCTGGGCAACAGCCATGGAAGGGCTTAGAAGGAGACTACGCAATAATGGATAACCAAATGGACAAGAAGGTTCTAGATGACATGGAACCTGGGATGCCATACCTCCCTGGTGCAAATGCTGGTCCCTTGCATGGCAGCATTGCCCGACTTCATGTGCTCAGCGTGGCTCTCCTGAAGCTTCTTGGCAGCTTCATCTGCGCCAGCATTGGACTTTGCCGGCAAAGGGCCTGCCCTGGCATGTGAGATTCGTCCAGCCCATGCATTGCAGGGTGGACATGAGAGGGCCAACCAAAAAAAAAGCAAGTCTTTGCTCACCAATGCACGGCTGCATGAAACACCATGCACTCAACCTACACATGGAAGTACTCCGAACCCAGTCCCCAAGCAATAGCAGCCTGACGGACATGTATCAGGGCACATCTCGGAAAGAAATCCCACAAGCGGCAGGCAAAGCCACGCCTCAAAAATTAAGCATGAAGATATGATAAGAATGCCCAGCGGCTTGATGGTGAGTTCCGTCTTTGTGCCGTCATGCTTGACCACAGGCATCTTCAGTGTTTGTCCCTGCGAAACTTTCACATCTGACTCAGATTTGTTTGCAGGTTGGCTGTGCGGGCAAAACAAGTTTAGAGGAGCTGTTATGTGATTGTTGAATCCTGAGTATTGTTGGGGTTCTCAATTGTCAAGTTTTGCGAAGATCACTCAGTACACCCCCTTCCCCCCTTGGTCACTGATTTATGCGAATTACGCCCTGTTTGCTATGTAGGCACGAGACAAGCTAGCTTGTTTCGGCGTGATAGGGTATGTTTTGCCTGGCCAGTTTGCCTGACTCGAGATCTATAGTCCCCCTTAAGTAGATAGAATATGGGGTATATGACCGTATATGGGGATCTCATTATGAGATACCCAAAGCCATATTCTATCTACTTAGGGGGGACTATAAAACTTCAGGGTTTCAAGTTTCAGGCCAGGTCCAACACGCTCCATTCATTATTCAACGCCTATTCGAGGTGGCCAAGACATGATTGCTGCATGTGGGCTGCAAGAAGGATGATGCTTTATGGCGCAGAATTGTCCATAACTTTCGCGGCTGCATGGGGCATCCATAACCCTCCTCACCCCATTGAGCTGAATTTTAGAAACCGCAACTGAGGCCCCAAACCTTCTCCTATTGAATATCATCTCTTCTCTCTAAGCTGCTAAGCTCTGCAACCCTCGTACTATTGAATCCACTTCAAAACAACTAGAGCAGCTTTGAATTTGAACCTACAACCCAAGACTTGTTTGCTGAGTAGCTGCCATCACTACTGCTACGACTCCTCTGACGACTACTGCAACACCTCCTGCTCCTGCTACTTCACCTCGCCCGGCCTATACAGTTTAAGGTTCCTTTTGATTTTCCACGTTCTTTTTCCATTTGATTCTCCAAAATTGCGGCATTATCTCCACCTTTGAGCCATGGTCTAGACTCCTAAAATCCCACTTGATACCGCCTAATAGTAGTCCCCTATACAGGCTCATATATTCCCTTGTGTTTCCCCCTTGAAGGAGCTTGGATTATGGCTCACTTAGGCCCCTACAGTTCAGTATTTCACCCAGCGGCCCACAAAACTACCCGAAAACCTAAACCCTCAAAACTACCCTAAACCCTAAACTCTCAAAACTACCCTAAATCCTAAACCAAAAAAACCTAAACCCTGAAAACTTTCAGGCCTCGCCGTTTGGCACCGCTATCTCGCCGCTACCCATGCTCTTCAGGATGCTCACCTGACAGGATCACTGAACTCTATATATATATATATATATAGGGATTACACAGGGGTTATAAAGGGATTATGTAGGGGTTATATAGGGGTTGTATAAGGATTCTATACGGGTTATATAGGACTTTATTGGGGGTTATATAGGGATTATGTAGGGATAGGGGTTATATAGGGGTTATATAGGGATCAGGATTATATAGGGATTCTATAGGGATTATAAGGAGTATTATATAGGGGTTATATAGCGGTTATAAGGGGTTTATATTGGGGTTATATTGGGATAATGGAAAAGAAAATGGAAACTACTACTTAGGGTTTAGGGTTTAGGGGTTTAGGGTTTATAGTCTCCCTGAAGTAGATGGAATATGGGGTATATGGGGATCTTATTATAATATACCCAAAGCCATATTCTATCTACGTAAGGGGGACTATAATATCATGGGTTTCCTTACTACCCCCCTCTTTACTACCCCCCCGCCCACCAAAGGTTCCCCCCTTGATTGCAGATATCTAGGCTTAGGGGGGGGAGTATAGCGGGGGGCAGAAGAAAAATCATCTCCAGCAAGTCACTGATAATATGACGCTTTCCACTACGACTTTCAATTGGCACATTCCTTCTGATTATGCTTACCAAGACGAAATTGTAAATCACACTTTTTTGCTCTGATTGTAAAGTTTCCGCAAGATGTCTGGAATACACCTACTCTCTCACGCTTGCGGGGTCACCTGGCCGTCTTTCTCTTCCCATTTGTTACTTGCACAGTAGACTGACATGGGCATTTTTCCCTGTTGTACCCTGCAGTCACTACAGCAACCTTTTGACGGTGACATCAAAAACCTGTTGCGTCTCTGCTGATGACACTCGGGATCCGACGGCACAGGTGGTCGGCCCCGACGGTGTCATTAGCATCTGCCTCCAGCTTCGAGCAAGCACTGAAGCACAAGGGTATTTCGACCGTGTGAACGATGGTGTCAAAGAACTGGGGCAAACTGAAGAACGGATTCACCGTGTCGAGTGTGGTTGTACTTGGAGACATTCGACGCGCAGTTCCGTGTCCTAGCTTAGCTACCTCAATCACAATTGCAGAGGATGCCACGAAGTGAAAGACTATAGGATACTGGCAGTGGTACTCGCGATGAGACCCCCCAAGGCAATCGCTACTTACAAAATTCCCACAGCATCGACGCGAAACAGCAAGGCTAACTCCCAACATCATGTCATGTTCATCATGGCAGTGGCTCGCAACCTTTTTTACTCGTACACGTCATCTTACTGATGTGTTGGTGGTGTCAGGCAAAATCAGATGCTGCACCAAGTTTCTAAGGTTCAAATTGACACGGCACCTAGTGTGGCACAATGCTTTTGGGCGCAAAGCTGGATAGAAGACTCCCAAGGCTGCACTTTTGGACGGCACTCCTCGACATGTTGAAAATATTGCTGCTACTTCCTGTCAAAAGGGCAGAACTTGGGAACTGCTGTATTGCATGGCCAGCTTGCTGTTATACTAACTTAAGTTAACTTCCTTAAAACGGCCACCCAGTCTCCCTCCCTAAACTGCGCGCCTTGGCCGACCCACCTCCATTTTGTTGTGCTTTCGCTCACATCCGACCTGTCAGGGTGCCTTTCTTGAATGCCCGGGACGCACTTCAGAGACCGTCAGCTGTAAGCAAGCAGGCTTGATAACAACATGACGATGCTCTGGGACGCTTACTGGTAAAGGTTCCTGCTCAACGAAGTCACACACGGCTCGGGTTTTCTGGAATGAAAAGATAAATTTGATAGCAGTTGCCTCAACCCTCCTCAAGACATCCCAATATAACTCTAATATAACCCCAATATAACTCAATATAACCCTAAACTACCCCCAATAGAACCCTAATATAACCCGAAAATAACCTTGACTTTTATCGAGAGGCCTGCGCCTTGCTTGTTTAACCTTTTTTGCTTACCATAGCCGTGCATGCATTGCCCAGCCCCTCTTAAAATCAGATGCTAAGAAAGACCCTCGGCCTCCCTTCGTCAAAAAGCTATACAGAAACTGTGCTGGAGAGATCCTGATGCCCACCTTGAAAGCAATGACAGCATCCTTCAAATGCAGAGCTGATGCAGGAGGCGGGTTCCAGGCTACTGCTATTAAGGAATGGAAAAGAAGATTAAAACTACGGTTAAACGACTATCTTGGAGAACCCAACCTGAATTTAGTCCGTAGCTCATATAACAGGATATATTCCAAATCTGCAACTGCCACAGCCGTACAGCAGCAGCTACCCGCCTAAGCTTGCAAGCATACTGACACAACTTACTGGTGATTCGGGGTTCTATACAGTTTATGTACTGGGGATATACCAGGGTTTTATACGGGTCCTACAGGGCTATGTATGCAGGGCTTATGCAGGGGTTGTAAAGGGATTCTATGGGTGGTTGGATTAGTAGGGACTGGAGGAATGGACAAGTCTCTTTATCACGACTCACGGCCTTATGTTTCCATACTGAGCACCGATAATACAAGAACCAGTTATCATAATCCTAGCAATAAGAATAATAGCCATAGTAGTAATAGTAGTAATAATAGTAATACTGGCAATAATGGTAATAATAGCAATGATAATAACAAAAATAAGAAATGGAATAAAGCAGGTTGTCCCACCCGGCATGAGTGGTCTGTGCACACGCCTGTCTCCAAAGCTAAGCAATGCAATGCAGGAGAGTCCTGGGGCAATCCACTTGCCTGCAGGACGTTCACCTGCAAGTCAGACGTTTGGAGGAGGAAACCACACTACTCGTATCTGTGGTTGCAATGGTCACATGAAGTCAGTTGCAAACTTGTGCACTTGGGACAGCTGCACATGCTGCCAATTCCTGACCCGCAAGCTTCCGCTTCTATGCTGTCCACAGCTTAGAGTGCCATTGTCGCATCATGGGGCTGCACCTAGCACGTCCCGCCTCCATGACAGCCGGACACCCCAGAGCGATCTGCTCGACCCCCCTTTGAGCCCAGCGCCCTGCATGCCCAAAACAAGTCAAAACGTGGTGCAAAGGATGACGGGGCGTCTGTTGCTGTCCAGGCATTCTGCACATGCTGCTCTGTCCTTGCTATGGCACCGACACCCCCACACGCTTTGATGTTTACATACGTAAGGGAGGAACAAGACCCGCTTGAAACGCCCCAGCAGGATCCTTTCTTCATCCCTCAATTCCATGAGCTTTTCTTTCCCAAAATTATGGGTGCCCTTCGGGGTCCCATGAATCAGGATCCTAGTATACTGGGTCTATATTGGGTTCCCCCTATTTTTGGAAACTACCTCCTTTTTTCTGGAGCTCTGCAACTGCGCGCGGAGTTCCGCGGAACGGCGGCGAGGCAATATCCCAACTCTTTCCTCCCACAATCTGGCCTTTGGTGAGTTAGGAATGAAGGAATGGAAAAGAAAATGGAACCTACCATAGTGGGGTTATATACTACTATTTAGGGTTTAGGGTTGGGGTTATATAGGGATAATGTAAAAGAAAATGGAAACCACTTAAAGATTCATTCCTTCATCCCTAGCTAACCAAAGGCCAGCAATCAGATCACGGAAGATGAAGCTCAACTCGGCCGATGGTAGCTCTTAGGAGGACCCCCCACCCTGTAATAGTGATATAATAGGAATATCAGAGGACCCTAATATAATCCCTATTATCCATAATAGTCACTATTACTGGGTGGGGGGGTCCACCTAACGTAGCTCTGTCAGAAGACTCAGGTACAGTCTTGACCCTTATAAACCTTTGTAAGCTCTATATTCACCTTTTATACCGCCCCCTATCTCCCCCTATGTCCTTATATACCCATATTTTGCATACTGCCCCCCCTCAGTAACAGTTGCATAATAATTATAATATGGTTTTACATAGCCCTTAATGGGACCCCTAATATAAACAGTTACTGGGTGGGGGCAGTACCCAACCCATATTGATGCTAGACAGGTCCTTGCGTGCGAGGCATGGTTTCCTTCTTCTTCTGAAGGTAGCGCAGGATGCCCAGGTAAGGGGAACCTTCCATGCAAAGAGATCTGCAGGAAGGTACCCTAAACCCTAAACCCTAAACCCTACTTGGAGGATCATGGGACTTAGTAACTATTTATAACTGGGGTTATAACCCTACTTATAACCTCGGGTAACCCCTATAAGGCCATTTAGGGGGGTTATAAGTAGGGCTATAAGCCCAGTTATAAGTAGTTACTAAGTCCCATGAACCTCCAAGTAGGGTCTGGGGGAGCATTGCCCCAAGAAACACGACGCCCTCGTGCTGTGCAGGAACGGTCTGGAATCAGGATGAATCAAACATAGATTCTGGGTAACAATTTGCCTCAGTCTTCCTAAAGTTTGGTAGTTTCCCAAAATAAGGGTACCCCGATATAGACCCCAAAATGCTATAGTCCTTATTATAGGGACCCCCTTAAGGGTACCTCTAATTTTGGGGAAACCCCCTATTTGGAGCCAGTAGCAGTCTGGATCTTCCGAGTTGTAGTCGAACCAGCACCTCCCGAGCATTGCTGTAGGGTTTAGGGTTTAGGGTTTAGGGTTTAGGGTTTAGGGTTTAGGTTCCAGGGTCCTCCGTCACCAGCTGCCTATTTGCCATTACTAGTACTATTACAAATACAACTACCGCTTGCTGCTTCTATGATCTCTATTGCTATTCATTGCTGTTGCGATTGCTTTTACTTTTATTACTATTCCCCATCCCCAAAGAACCTGTTCCGCACCACCGCCCGGTGCATCTCAGCGACAGCTGGGCCATGAAACTCCAAGAGAAACTCCAGGTGCTCGGCCAGGGCTGGGCCTACCTGCGAGATAAGAATATAGTCCCCCTTAAGTAGATAGAATATGGTGTACATGGGGATCTTACTATAATATACCCAAAGCCATATTCCATCTACTTATTTGGGGGGACTATAGTAGCCAATAATAGTGGGACGAGCAATGGAAATACTATTTGAAATTATGGTAATTAGTACTGATAATAGTAACAGACAGGCATTCTTAGCACAGTACGTGTAGATCTTGTTCAGAGCCTTTTCTTTGAGTTCCACTCAAACTGGCTTTCAGGAGCACGCCTCATCCATGGGCCACTTCAGCGAAAATGATGACCTGGAAGCAAAGGGTTGGAAAGACAGCTTCCTATGTTTGATGCCAAAAGTCCTCCGTGATCCTGAGTGCCTCCTACCTTGGGAATCATGATATTGGAGTATACCAAGGTCAAGCAGAGTTTTTGGTATCGGAAATCGTGCCCTTCCGAACTATCTGTGGGAGAAGCTGCATACTGCATGCTCGTGGAAAAGGCTCCGCAAACAAATGACCAACCATCCACGACTTTAACTGCCCCACAAACAACACTTGACCTTCCTGCTCCTGAAAGCACCTGTTTACTTTTATGTCACTTCCGCGCACGATGTTGAACATGCGGAGGGCAATTTGAAAACAAGGCGCCAGTCAAGGAAATCATCGAAAGGAAGGCCGATGTGATCAGACAGGATGACCTTGGAATCACCCAACCCCATCGCATCCTAGGGAAGTGGCTGAGCTGGCAATCAGAGCAAGCAGTTGCAATTTGAGCAGAATGGATGCGATGAGGCCCGAGGCCTTCTTGCCACATCATGTATGTTTGAACAAGAAGTGGCTTGGGTGCGGACAGGTATGCAGCCTGCGAACATGACCTCGGTACAACTTGAAGGAGGCTGCAGCTGCGACACATCACCCGCCTCATAGAGCCGATTGCTCCAGAATCCCAATCCTTTCGGAGCGAAGCAGAAGTGGCAGTCGCCAATACGATCAAAGTACTCCTGGGTACAGCTTTCCGACTTAGATGACCTAGCAACATCCATGCACCTATGTAAAAAGCAGCCGCTTCATGTGACGTGAGTGAACCGCTTGAAGAGCTTTTAAATGCAGCCCCGGCACGGTGATCCGAACAAATCTGTAGCCAATGCTGAAGTTGTGTCGGCCACGCAGAGTCTGCAAGTCATTCCGAACCTGGGCCAGCCAGATGGAGCTTCTAGACCATTGAAGACACACGAAGACACTGACCAATCAATCATGTGCCTAGCAGCTAGTACACCTATGAGTGTAAATTGTTTCAACTACAACCGACATGTCGTCTTTCAGGAGAGGGGGCAGCCACAAATTTGAATCGCGTGACGGCTACTGCTGCGGTCCGGGAACTGTGGTGTTTGCGTACTTGTATATGGCCAAGGCGTCGGAATCAGCTCCATGGTAACATGCCGTGTAGGACCTCTGCTCGTGAGGTCTTTCCAACGCTCTGAGCTTGTCCACGCTCCATTTCTCCACAAAACCCGGTATGACGTAGTCTTTCCAAGGAGTGAAGCCTTGGAAGATTGATTTTTGGAAGTTTGACCTATCCAGCTTGACGCTCTGTCTCCTGTCCGATCCACAGCGTTGCCCAACTAATTGCCTGTAAAGTCAAGGCACACCAGTAGCAGTGCTGGCAGTGTGCACCGAAGTTGTCAGCCGTCTCTTCCGAGAAGAAATCAAAGTCTGTGCACTCAATCGGCCTTCTCCACATGAGCTCACGTGAGCTAGGACTGCATGTGCTTATAAGGGTTGGAATTCACTGGAGCAGTTTATTCTGACTTACAGCAGACTTGCCTAGCTTCCACGGAAAGGAAGAGCGAGTCTGGGATGTAGTCCAGCCACCTCAGAGCGGGTATGCAATCTCTTCACTCAAGCGCGGCCTAAGCGGCTGAAACCCGCAAAGCATGCAACCTTTGCAAAGCGTGGGAGCAGCGCGACTGCAGCAGACAAGTAAGTGTTGACATGACAAAATCCGTCAGCCTGACGACCCTGTGCCAGCGTTATTTTACGTAATCCCTGCCATGATTCGAAGGGAAATCATAGGTCTCTGACGACCACAGGAAGATATGGTCAATCCCGCCCTGGTCCTGCAAGCTTGCAATACCGCCATGGACTGCAACAGATGACAGAGGCGTCAGCTTAGTATGTGTCCTTGCCCAACACACATGTCTGGAGTTCCACAGACCCAAAACAATTGAAGTTCGCCTATACGGAGCTACCAGTACTGAGGATAAGTCCTTGTCAGCTGTGGAAGCTTGGGGAAGCCTCTTTTTGCTGCAATAATACTAAATACTAGTGGTATTTAAAATGATAGTAGTAATAGCAATTATAGTAGTAGTGATTGTCGTAATAATAACGGTATCAAAATGGCAATGATTATGATAATGGCACTGCCTTACATCTAACATTTCATGAGGCAGCGCTGCCCTGAAACCTTCAAACAGGTTCATGTCTGGCATGCATTCCCTAAGGACCCCAAGGATACTGTATTCGGATCCTCGAAGTACGTCAGCTGCTCCTTAACAAGCTGGCTGTAGAAGACATCCATATCCTAAGCTGCAACAAGACCGTGCGTCGGCTTTTATTTCAGCATGGGCAAGAGCACTGCACTGCAAAGGCACGCGTGCTCCGAGACACGGGAATCTGCTGCACTGCTACAAATACCCTTGTCTGCTTACGTTGCATGAGCCTTGTTCATTTGAACTTTGCCCTGCGCAATCCAAGTCTCTTCGGCGGTCTTTCTCTCTTTCGTCATAACGCAGGCAGCATAAACAGGCACAAAGAAGAAGTCTGCTTCCGCGGGGTTCTCCGTTCGACAGCTGCTGTGCAGCAGGAATTGATGAACCTTGGCGACAGTTTGGATTTCTGCTGCGCTCGTGCGGCAATGCCGTCCCCCAAAAGCCGCATGGCAATATCCCACTAGGCGTGTGATAGCAGCATGACACTCTGGAGGAAACTCAACTCCAAGTTTGCTATCAGGATCGCATGCACCCAGCTTCCACCTTACCTGGGCCGTAACTTTGCCGTATCATGATCTGAATTAGCAACTATCCCGCAGCACCGTTCGGCGTTACTGCATGGCAACCCTGCTGCGGGAGCCCCCGATGCAAGAGGTCCATTTTGATCCACACCCTGGTCGGCTTATTTGTACAACCGTCACTCCTGTCAAAATTCGAGGAACAAAGACCTCACTGGCGAACATGCCCTGGCTGCACTCCACTGGACGTGCAGCGAAGAGCGTGTCATAAACATAGACTCGAACGCCCAAGTCATAGCAGCCTTGCGGGTTCAAGCCCAACAGGAGCGGATAGCTAGCCTTGGATGCAGAAGCAGGGAAATTAAGGAGACATGATGAGAGCCTTAGCTGAGCTTGCCCGCCCAAGATAACATCAAAGGAAAACTTATCAACTGCAAAAAGGGGAAACTGATTAACAGCTTCGAGGATCCGACTGATGCGTCTGCAAGTTCCAAGCAAAACCAGAGGCATTCCAAAGATGACCATATCTCTGCCTCAACTCCTCGTACATCAAGAAATACTCTTTGGCTTTCCTCGGCCAGCAAGAAGATTTTCTGAATTAAAGGTAACTGCCGGGGTCCAATCATGCTGACAACGTCCAATAGAGCTGGCACACTGACAAGGAAACTTCAGGCAAGCCGTGAGGCAGATTCAAGGAATCGCTGAGCATATGACAAGAATAATGATGATACTATTGATGCATACTCAAAAAGCATTGTAGGGCCAAAGCTCGCAGTGCCAAAGCGAATTTCTGCTTGAGGCAAGGCATTCAGAATAAGAACTGCCACTCCCAGCGCACAGTCCTTTGCTGCACAACTTCTACAGATTCTATCGTCACAAAATACTGCACAGATCTGCCCACGGACACGGCCACAAACAGCTCAAGGATGGCTTAGAGAACCCCACGCATGCAGTCGCTAGGCGTGGTTCAGTTCGGTGACCGCATGTCGAACCAAAAAAAAGTGAATCAGCAAGGGCCCAAATTGCAGCTGGGAAGCTTGAATAGCTCCAGGCAAAGCTCCAGAACGTTCGAGCGCAAAGAATGCATTGGCAAGCCTTGGGCAGGGCACACAGCATCATGCAACTGGACATGTGGAGCGCTGTGTGGCTTTGCAGGGAGACGGTATGCTGAAAGGTTTGCAGAGCAGCGGCTGGCACAAGGCGTCAGCAAGATCTATACTACTTGGAGGGTCATGGGGACTTAGTAAGTGGGTTAATAATGAGGAAAATTGGGGTTACTATATTGCTTATAGGTGTGATTAACCTACTTACTAAGTCAACACGACCCTAAACCCTGAACCCTGAATACTATAGTAGCTTCCATTTTCTCTTCCATTATTACTATGTAACCCCTATATATGGGTGTCCATGACCCTCCAAGTACCCCAGCTGAATTCGCCTGGTAGCTCAAGGCCATACTCTCGTGGCACATGCGTCTTCTGTAGAGCCTTGCAATGCTTGCACACATGGCACCATGCGCATAGACATAGGGAATAGGGAATGTGCCGCCAGTCGTATTACACCAGAGCAGTTTCCATTCTCTTTTCCATTATCCCTATATAACCCCAATATATTCCCTATTATAACATAGTAGTTTCCGTTTGATTTTCCATTATCCCTATACAACCCCAATACATTATAGAGCTGACTACCCGGTGCTTAGCATGGAATGAAGCAATGCCATCCCTATATGAGTTATAGTCTAAACTCCTAGCATCCTTCTTTGTAACCCTATAATACTCCCCTATATGATCCCGTCTGTAACCTCCTTCAAGGAGTTTAAACTATAGCTCATATGGTCCTCAATGAAACTCACGGAAACCTAATTCCCCATTCCCCATGAATATAACCCCAACCCTAATCCCTAAACCCTAAACCCTAAATAGTGGTTTCCATTTTCTTTTCCATTATCCCTATACAACCACAAATGGCACAGGCCCAACCTGCCTTGTCCACCTCCCGTGCGACCGTCCACACATCCTGGCCAACCTGCGCTGTGCCCAGACCTGACAAGTTCTGGGCGTGATCCCAACTATGTGCGGGTTAGAAGTAAATGGACGGGATGGGTTATAGAGTTATAGGGACTGCTAGAGGGATCCATTCCTCAGTACCTACAGACCATAAGGTCGGCTGTCCTGGCGATGGGGCTATACTTAAGAATCAACTGTAGCCAAGCTTCATTCGGTTTGCGCTCCGGCGAGCGCCACAAGACTGCCAATTTGGATCCAGCTGCCTTGTTCCAGCAAAAGTTGCTTGCAAGCTTCTCAGCCTCTGCCTGACGCATGCCAGCTCTGTGTATACTCACAGAACACGTGCTAACGGTCCAAGAGACAAGCAGGCAGCCCCATTGCTGGGGCAGGCCAGACGCAGCACTGGCATCTTGCCCTCTGGCCGGAGCCCAGTACGGTCTACCCCATCATCGTGAGGCTAGAAGTGCAACGCTAGCTCGAGTCTATGTCTGCTGTGGCTGTTTGGCTGATTGGTCAAGTCTAGCTGAGGCGTAGAAGGTGTACGCTGCCAGGAATCCTAGTTACAAGTTGAGGTGGAACCCATGGAGCAGCTCACGCCGAGCAAGCGACAACTGTAGCTTCTGACGTGCGGATCGATCGCGCACTCGTGGTAGATTGCATGGTTTGGCAAAAGCGTCCCCTGCAGAAGCTGCATTTTGTCCGCTTCACCATCTTCTTGGCTTATGGGCGGGCCGAAATACCTTTCAGGCTCAGGTCTCCGAGTAGTAGTTCGGGATGTCGACATGCTTGGCCACAAGTTGCTTCTTTCCATCAGCCAGCGCAGCTTTAGCAGCTTCCTGAGATCGTACAGTTCGGAAACCGATTCTTCAGGGGTCTCATAAGGAGTGGCATCAATCAAGAGGCTTCAGAGATCATCCCTCAACTCTTCCGAACCACCATTCTCCCTGGTGCTTAGGAGGGAAGGGGGGAATGGATCCCTATAGTAGTCCCTAAATAATCCTAAGAATAGTCCCTATAATCCATTCCCTCGTTCCCTCCTAAGCATCTGGGAGCAATGCATGCAAGAAGCTGTGATTGATCCCCAAAACGTAAACCCTAAACCTTGACCCCTCAACCCTAAACCCATGCAAGAAGCTGTGATGGATGGGAACCACCAATGCTCTTCCAGGTACATCCTGTCCACAAGGCCAGCCTCGCCTTGGCAGTGGTTGTTAAAATGTTTTAGGGTTTAGGGTTTAGGGTTTAGGGTGGGAACGGCCTAAGCAGGCCGGGTGAGAATTTAGGGTGTAGGGTCTAGGGTTTAGGGTTTCAGGTTTAGTGGTTGTGAGACCTAGGGGCTTCTTCTTTCAGAGCCCTGCAAGGTCCAGTGCTGTAAGTTCAGTAGCATCACATAGGAGTTACAGCTTGGGCATCTTTCCTGCAAGGCACTGAATTGAGCCAAGCAAGGGATGAGATTGTACTCTGCACCCTCGATGTCAACCTTGAGCATAACCCAGTCGTCCGGACGCACGTTTTCCGCAATCCTTGTTCCACAAGTCTAGCAAAGCACAAAGTCACACCAGACGGCAACGATTCATCTTGATGCTGGTGTCAGACATCCTTTAAAGATACCTTGAACCATGTAAGCCATAGTCTCAACTGCTGGTATCGCCCTTAATAACCCCTATAATAGTCCCTGATAGAATCCCTTATATATATATATATACATATATAAGCCCCCCGTTAAGGAGTTTAGATTCATGAGCCCCGTTGCAGGCCAGGAGCAGCTGCACAATGTTGGTCATTGGGACGGTCACCTTCACTTTGCCGCTCTTGACCGCATCCGGTGCCTTCGCAGCTTCACTGGGAGCAACAGCCGCGTGCCCGGTCTTAAGTTCTCAGAGCGGTAGGCTGCCCAGACACATCGGACATCATGCTGGATCCCCAGTGGTTGTGCGAGGCATCCTTGTCAATGAAGAAGCTGGTGGTGCCCTGACAGGCGGGTGGCACTGGTGCTGGGCAATAGGCAAGTAGGATTCGGAGCAGTCCTGTTACACAGTACACTTGATAGGGGACCCTGGCAAATGCACAGTCTGCTACAAGTAGCATCCTGCAACGTCAGCGAACAGCTTGAAGTCCGGGGTGAGGGGTCCTCCTCTTATCAAATGGCACGGCAATGTAATTTCAAGCAAGCCAGACGCCCGCCGCCCCAACCTGCCCCTCTGCATAGAGGCAATTTTCCAGTGTAATAAAAAAGCAAACTCAAGCAGACCTTGAGAAACCTACAATTCTACCACTACAAGTAGCAATGAAATACAGTGGCAGGCATCGTAGCAAAGGGGCATGCAAGACTTTCTTTGTCACTGCCGCCTCAGGAGTTCCTTCATTTCCAGGGAACATAGGTCACCGCTGCAAATCACACGTTAGCACTTCGAAGGATAATTGCTACGATCTTGCACTACCTATCCCTACCCTGAGTGCCTCATACCCGGTAAATCATAGTACACACAGGTCATGCAGGTCTCTTCGCATCAACAGCACGTATAATCGCAGACCACTTGACAGCCCCAAAACTGAGAACTTCTTATTACTCATATGATTATTTCTATTGCTATTCCAATTGACAATATTTCTAATATTAGTACTACTGTTAACATTACTACTATTATTCCTACCACTAATATTATTACCATTATGCCATTATTAAAATCTCTACTACTTACTTTTACGATCCCTAAAACCTAAACCCCTAAAGCCCTTTGCATCCGGGCTCATTGCTGCCGGGGTCCCGCTTCACGCGCTCTTTGGGCTGTACAAAGCACACCAAAGTTGATTAACACTGACCGGTGATGCCTAACATTGCCTTCAGCCGCCCTGCACGCGAGTGGGGTGCACGAGCACACACGGTTCAACCTTGTCCTGTCCTTTGTTCAATGTTTCGAATGGCCTCGCCCATTTCTATGTAGAGTCTGACCAGCCGGGTACGTGCCATGGAGGGAGAGGGAGGACTCATCCGAACCCTGAAGCCCTAAAACCCTAAACCCTAAACCCCTAAAACCTAAACCCTTATTACTATTCTCATTCCTGGCTTGCAAAACTATTTACAGTATTTTTCTTTCAGAAAAACTTCTGGCTTGCAAAAAAGTCCTGACAAGTCAGCTCCTGGCCTCGCAGTCGAAGGCAGCATGCTCCGCAAGCGAGTGGACCTGCCAGTGCCAGGACTCCCTGCAAATCAGGAGTTCTAGTAGAAATGAATAGTAGTAGTAATAGTAATAATAGTAATAGTTGTAAATAGTAGTAATAATAGCAATAATCATAGCGAGACTAAAGTAGTAATGGAGGTAGTATAATAAAAATAGAAATCATGGTGATAATAGTAGCACTCATAGTAATAATAGTGATGATAATAAGCTGTAGGATGTCCAAAGCAATTTGGCAATGGATTGAAGCTGTTCGCTCCACCCACCCCCGCCCGCGCCCGGGAACAGATACTGCACAAGCAAACGCAATGAATGGACTCCGAGCCACATTATGCAAGATTGCATCTGGCCCTAAACCCTAAACCCTTAACCCTTAACCCTAAACCCTAAACCCTAAACCCCTAAACCCTAAACCCCTAAACCCTGGGTCTACGCATGTAAAACCTGGCCTGGCCCGGGAAGTTCTCCTGCAGGGAGTTGAGCTCCTTCGTGAATTGAGGGTTCGCCTCCCACTCAGCGCCAGACATTCCACGATTATTACTACGATTATTGTTTTCATTACGATTATTGTTGTTATTACTATTACTATTACGAATACTAGTAATATTACTATTTTTATTCTCAGCAAGGATTGAATGGAACACCAATCTTTTGCACAGCCGCTTTCCAACAACAACGCCGGACAGTGCAGTCCAAGAAAAACAAAAGCTTTAGGTTCGTAAAGCAGGCCTCCAGCAAAAAGGCCTCCCATTTGCCAGACGGGCACTCCTTGATTTTGCCGTAATCATTCCTTGTAGGGACAGGGATTGGTGCCACCTCTGCTTAACACACCGTGCTGGATGCAGGAGCACAGACGTTTGATGCTCGGCTTTTGTTAATAAGTTTTCCCATAACAATAATTTAAATAATAATACTACTACTAAGCATAAGAACAATAATACGAAGAATACTAAGTACGAATAATACTAATAACAACAAATTAGTAATACTACTACTAATACCATGCCATGCTTCTCCAGGAACTTGGCAAAGGTGTTACCATCAGCGGCCCCGAGGTCGATGAAGATGCATTTGGGCTCACTACGCTGGGTCTTCTTCCAGTTCGGGTTGTTGGCCACCTCGGAAGCCCCCTGAAAAATACTAGTAGGAGTAATTATAGTATAGAGTTTAGGGTTTTGGGTTTTAGGGGTTTTGGGGTCTAGGGATAGTAAAAGTAGTAGAAATGTTAATGATGGTATAATGGTAACAATACTAGTCGTAGTAATAATAATAATAGTAATGTTAATAGTAGTAGTAATACTAGGACCCTAGTATCAATAGGGGTAGTAATAGTAATAAAGCTTCATGGCTGCCTTCTTCAAGTTTTTGGAAGAACAACCAACATCTACTAGCAGGATTCCGCCATAAGGAAACAAGAGAACATAGGGAGTATGTCCCCAAGTTATTCCCCAAGTTTTTCCCCACTAACCAAGAGTGGAACCCTCAACCCTAAACCCTGAACCCCTTTTGAACCAGGACTCTCTGATGTGCCCTGAACCCCTAAATCCCAAACCCTAAACGAGCGGAACCCTCAACCCTAAAAAGTGGCAGGTTTTGGCAAGCGACGCATTGGCACTGCGGCTCGTCTTGGTAGAAGGACAGGCTTGAAGCTGCGTGGATGCTGGCGTGGGAGACCTGCTACGTACCCTATCCATACGTCATCTGGTAGTTTAGTAGGGAGACCCCAATATAGATCCCAAAATACGATCATCCTTATTACGGACATCCCCAAAAGGTACCCCTAATTTTGGGAAACCGCCATCTCATACCAAAGCCAAGTAAACTACTCTGCCTCATTCAATCAGACATGTGGAATGCAACTGGCTCAAGTGTCAATTGCGCAGGGCGCACGTTGCTGCGGAGGTAGACTGCGGAGGCCGCTCCAATCAGCACAGGCGCGAGGCGGAACATGTTCAACGGATGAGAGACAAGCCCTGCGCGACTTCGTTCAACGGGACACAGGCTTCGACTACAGACCAGCGGTGTGGTCTTGATGCCTGAGGCGGATAAGTCGCAACAGGTGTGGCAGACAGCACACTCTTCACAGCCAAGGTGCAAAATTTCATGTGCATACCTGAGGACAACCATGGTATCATGCCTTACAGCAGTCAGCAGCTTTTGTCACACCAGCCCGTCCTTTGCATCCTAGACCTTATGTAGGGGGCAAGGCCGGGAGGAAGAGACATCACAAAATCATGCTACTTCTGTAGCCATGCAGACATGTAATTACCCTGGTCCGTCCATCCTACCCTGCTCCCTTTATGAAGTCCAAAAAAGAAAGCAAAGAGGCTTGTGTGAAAGCTCAGGCTCAGAGCTTGGAAGTGTTGGGCAACTGGGCTTCCGCATTTGCGGAAAGCACAGGTCAACTCTTGTGCCCTTGCACAGGATTGGAAGTCGGCACCAACACCATTTTCTCACAAGCTACTGGGGCATCTAGGTGTGGGAGTAATAGGCCGGGATGTCGACATGCTTTTGCTGGAGCTGCTGCTTGCCCTTCGCCAAAGCAGACTTGGCGGCTTCCTCAGAAACTTACATTGCTTGACAGTCTTGAGTGCTCGCTGCGGCACATTCCAAAAGATGACAAACTGACAACCTAGACAAGCAGCCGTAATGGATGGGAACCACCAATGCTCCTCCAAATACATTCTGTCCACGAGACCAGCATCGGCGAACTCAGCAAGGCAGGGAATGAGATTATACTCAGCCCCCTCGATGTCCACCTTCAGCATGACCCAGTCATCCGGCCGCACATTCTCGGCAATCCTGGCACCGCATTCGCACAAACATACACGCAAACTCAGCAACTAGCGGAGGGCGGGCACGCCCATGGTTCTTACCAACAAAAACCTACATTGCGCATGAAATCTCCGAAACAATTGCAGCAGGGCACAGCTGCACAACATTGATCATCGGCACGGTCACCTTCACATCCCCGCTCTTCACAGCATCGGGCGCATCGGACATCATGCTGGATCCCCAGTGGTTGTGAGTTGCATCCTTGTCAATGAAGAAGCTCGTGGTGCCCTGACGGGCAGAATCTGAAGACAAAAACCGCCAACATGTGAAAAGAGCTTCTGTCCTCGCAGGAGAAGGCAGCATGCTCTGCAAGGGAATGCACCTCACTCTGGCAAGCAGCCGCCGTTTCTGGGAAGATCCAAACAGGCCGGACAGCACCTGACCCGGAAAGTTTTCCTGCAAGGCATTCAACTCCTTGGTGAACTGCGGGTTGGCCTGAGGGCCGAGCATCCACAAGTCCCTAAATCATGAGGTCAAACTTTGCAAGTGAGGGCCACTGAAAGATTGCTTGTCTAGTCTGTTTATCATCACGACATTGCTGTTGAGTGCTAGGGCCTGCAATGGATAATACTAGGGACTCTCTCATGCGGCCGAATCTACACCCTTTCAGCTCACAACCCTGACACGCCTCCAGGAGGAATGCCTCCCACTTTCCGGAGGGGCAACCCTTGACCGAGCCGTAGTCGTCCCTTTGCTGAGGCACATGATTACAACAACTATGATTTCTATTATTGCTATTATTTCTACAATCACTATTATAACGATAAGAAGGAATGAGTTTAATAATGCCACTATTACGGTTGTTACTATTATGCAGACAAGTGAAGGCATGAGAGCTCACCATCCTTGGCCTTTGAAATTACACGGACGTGTGGGTGACCTTTTTTCGGCTCGGACTCATTATGCAAAGACTTCCAAGCAAATAAGCCATGTATCTCCAGGAACTTGGAGAAAGTGTTTCCGTCAGCTGCGCCGAGGTCAATGAAGATACACTTGGGCTCGGTGCGCTCAGTCTTCTTCCAGTTTGGGTTGTTGGCCACCTCGAAGGGGGTCAAAAAAGCTGCTCAAGTGAAACATTCCTAGCTTCGCCCGCATCGCAGGCAGCTGCTCATGGACGAAAAACAACTTGCAAACTACTGCGGATCACCATCTGCGGAAAGCCCTCCAAAACAGACTTGCTTTGCAAGCAGTGCGCATCCAATGGGGCCAAGGCACACACTGGCATTGCGGGTCAGCTTGATACAAAGACCTGGTTCCAGCTGCCCGAACATCAGCATACGATACCTTCACCGGGCATGCAAGATTTGACTTGATTTCTTAGCAGCGTCCGAACACTCAAGACAACGAGGGCACATTGCTGCGAAGATGTGCTGCATGCGCTGTTAGCGCAAGGAAGACCAAAGCTGCAAACATCCTGCTAGACTACGTTGAAACGGGCAGTGCCCAGGCCGTCCGCCTACAAATTGAGCCTGAACTGCAGCGGCAAATTGAAAATGTATCCTGCAAAGCCTGCTGCGGAAGCACAGCCGCACCTCTAGATCCGCATCGCAAATCCAAGCCGTCATGAGAAAACAATCTGGGTCAAAGTCTGATTGCATACCGCAGCTCTTCCTAGCCACTTCTCCCGACTTTGAGGAAAAAGGAATCCGGGGACAGCATTATCGTCCACAGGCGCTGCGCAGAGATCATCCTAGTTTGTCCACGGAGGAGCTGGAACTGACAGTTGGTCCATCTCCGAGAAGCTAATGGCTGAGTGTGTGTAGATTGTTGTCAACGCCGTCACTCAGCCGGTGTTGCAGTGGTGCTAGTTAGCAATCACGGCCACTAACAATCTACTAACCTTCAATGCATCAAGACGGAAAAGCCTTTGTTCATGAATGCCTTCCGGAACTTCTTAAACGGCTTTCCTGCCTAAAACTAGGGGTATTTTTTGGGGGGTCCCTATAATACGGAAGGATGAATTTTTGGGGAACTATCCTAGAGTATAGAGAATACCAAATCAGACACAGGTGAGAGCTGGCCCTTGGGATCCAAGTATACCAGTACTAGCTACATTTAGCCCGAAGTCTGCTCCTACATTCGCCTATTTGGATCCCTAAACCCTACATAAACCTACATTGGGCTATTTGGATCCCTATAGGGTGGCTCACACGAAGAAGACGGCCGCGAAGCCGGCCGACTGGGAGCGACGTTGGGCTTTCCAATTACAAGTGAGCAGGCCCAGTATCTCATAAAGGGCACCCTGCCTCCTGCGTCCAAACGTTGTTGAAGGCTTCAACAACGGTCAGGCCTGGAGCTTGTTGATATTCAGAAATTCAAGCGTGGCACGATTGGGTCGCAGGCGGTGGTCCACCCCCAACTCCAGCAGCCCGCGGACCACTGCTGGCCCTCCACAGATGTTGAGATCTCGCTGGGCTTTTGGCGGCTGCTGTGTGGATCGAAAATGAACTTAGGTTTTTGTTTTTTGTTATATTTCTTTTCGGTGGGTCCAGAGCGTTCTGTAGGCCAAATGTGGAGACGTTTCATGCAAGAACTCAATTTTGAGCGGAAATTTGAAGACGTTCTGCCAGGAGCTCGATTTGGTGTCAAGATTTGAAGAACCTCCGCGTGAGAGCCCAATCTGTTAGAATGCGCCTGCGCCAGCTCAATTGCAATATTACAAACTCAGGGTACTAGTAATTGCTAAGCTGCTTAACATGAACGATAATGAAAACAGCTCTGGCTGGATTTTGAAAGCACTGTTTGGCCAAGGCCAAGTATTGCATTTGGTTCAGAAACAAATCCGGGGGGGTTCCGGGGAGCGCAGCCCCACCCCCACTTGCACAATATGGACGAAGATGAGAACATGCAACTGATTGCCAAGCTTGGTGCAACTTGCATGGTCTTGATGTTTCTTGGAAGTACACAACCGCAAAAAAACATGCTACAACCGGTAGTACGCATACTGATACAAATGCCATTACCAATACGTCACCGTAGTAATAACGGGATAAAATGTGAACCGATATAACTGAAAAGGGAAAGAGCAACACTGGCAGTAAAGGAAAAAGGGTGGGTTCTGTAGTCCAAGATGTGACAACGCTTCATGTAATGTAGAATGTTCTCAACCTTTCAGGATTCAAAACCTCCAAAAACTTTTCTTTACCATCTTCCTCGTCTTTCAGGAGCCGCAAATGCTGCATAATTTGCAGCAGGCAAAGCCTTGGAAGAGTTGCAAACAATCTAATTTGCAGTTTTTGCAGTCTCTCAAGGGCTCCAAATGCCGCCATGTGCGGCATTCCTGGGACAAAGGAACCCTTAAAAACAAAAAGAACACTTTAAAAAAAAACAATAGTGTTTTGGCTCCGCTCTTTCCCTCTGCTCTGCAACAGCTCTAGCTCCAGGCTCTTCAGCTCAAACAAGCTCCTTTTGGTTGTTAGATTGAGCTGAGGGCAGTTTGGTGACTTGCGAGTGTGCCAAAATGCCCCTTGGCTTGCAGAAACAGTCGCAGCAGGGCCGCCCCACAGGCCTGTTGCAAGCCCAATGTTTTTAGCCTGCCCCCGTTTTTGAAATGTGGCCACGTTCCTACAAAATCCAAATACAGCTGGGAGCAAGCTGCGGCGAAATTTCGGAAAGACCATGAAAAAGCGGAATGCCTGAACTCTTACGCGTAGACACGCTCTGCAGCAACCAACTGCTCTACCCTGTGAGGGAATGAAGTTTGAGCTACGAATCCTTGCCCCAAGATCCTGGAATAAAGGTTCCAGGAACGTGCCACGCTGATGCTCATGATGCGAGCACGTAATGTTCACTCAAGTGTTTGTCCACTGCACAAACCAAGCAGTGCTTTGATGGCATGGCCCCTGCACAAGGGATGACATGCTGTGACGCATGGCTCAAGTTTTGACGAGGATAAAGGTGTCTGCTGGCGAACGACGCGCGTGGACTGGAGGCTGGGAAACCCTGCAACTGAGCGACAACGAAGTAGCCATCAAGGACGGGCTGGCCTACCTGGGACTGCGGATCCAAAGGTGCGCATCCGGAATCTTGATACGATAGTTGGAGTCAGAAATCAAGAAGACAGCGCGGCTGAATCTACAAGGTGTGGACACTCTGCCTGAGCTGGAGGAAGGGTAAGAAGGAATTCAGTTATCACAAGGCATTGAAGGAGTGCCAATCTGAAATTGGGTCTCTTCAGCGTGTCTCCTTGCCATCGAGGCCGGACATCATTGCAGCTACAGGTACATTGGCCACCATGATGACAATAGATCCTCAGAAATTTCTGGGTTTTGCAAAGAGTGCCTGGAAGTACTTGGAAGGTACTATTCAGCGCAATTTGTTTTATCCATATCGCGAAGATGACAATGACAAAGTTCTTTGGATGCTTCTTTAGCTAGAGCTTCGCAATCTAGAACTGTGGTTTCCTGGAAGAGCACGCGGGCTTACTAAGACAAAGGTGCGCATTCGCAATTCCCTTGGAATAAGGTCTGCAAAACGTGGGTGGAACAGCTTCGGCACTATCCTGATGGCTGCAATGTATGGATGACTGACAATCGGATGGCTGACCGTCTCCCTCCCGGAGACTCCATTCTCCATCCATCTCCATCCACATTCGCTGAAGCGCAAGGTTTAGTTTAGTGAGTTTGGCGCATCCGAGATGAAAGGGTGCAGGCCATTCCCCTTGCAGTGACTCTTCCAGGATCCTCAGGTTGAGCAAAATCCTCAACTACGCAGGTCGTTTCCGCTTCAATTCTATCACGGGCAGCTACTTCTAATGAGTCTTGGGTAACTCGAGGAAGATTTTCTGGCGAACATGGGCGAATTCGAACAGAGAAAATTTCCCACTTTGCTGCCATGCTCAGGCATGTTGTCTTAGCACCTGAGGCCGCCATACCTCGCAAGTCCGTTTGCTAACACAACTGGTCTACGAAAAAGCTCGGCCATTATTTTGGCCTCCTTCACGTGGGGCACTGCCGCGCGACACGCGAAATCGCCGCTGTCGTCAGCGTACACTCCTTAGCAAAACATGCTGGCAAACCATTTTGCGCTTGTCTTCTCGGACTAACAACAGCTCCTGGATTTTCAGCTTCCGGATATTGTTCATGCGAAAGGGCCGGGTCCGTCTGTGCTGTTCAGATGTTGGTTGGCTGCGTTTTTTTGTTGGTTTTGCTGGCACTTTTGCGTCCAAATGCAGCTCCTGTGATGATGGGCCCGTTGAAATGAAGCGGTGATGGTGATGATAGCGATGATGATGATGATGATGATGATGATGACGGTGACGATGGTGATGATGGTGATGATGGTGATGATGGTGATGATGGTGATGATGGTGATGATGGTGATGATGGCAACGGCGGTGTGGCGGGTGTGGGGGTGGCGCAGCTTGCGAAGATTAAGGATACGTCAGAAAGCAGCAGGAAGGTCTGCATAAGCCGAACTGGAAATCCCGCACGCAAAAAATGTGTTCAACATCATTTATGCAGCACGGACCGTGTTTGGAGGCCGGCAATCTCTCAATGGGGGAAGGAGGATGAAAGCTACTGTCAACATCAAGCAATAACATTCACAGCACGTTGGGGGCCTTGCTGAAAGTCCATCATGGAGATGGACCCCAGGACGTCCGCCGCGGTGCGAATGCCTTCCACCCAGCTGCTTCCTGTTAACTGCATGGTCTGCATGTCACATCCCAATCACCTGACAGTCCAAGCCCCCGACTGTTGAAGGCACTGCCTGGAGCACCTCAACCAGCATGAAGCTGATGTCTCCGCCCTCAGCCGCAATCCAAAATCGCGGTGCGTCTGCGAAATGGTGCCTGAATTCAGCTACTGCCTCAGTGGAAATGCTGTGGAGCAGAGGCAAAAAAATCTGCTGCGCCACTGAACCACACTGTTTGGAAATTATTCCCTGCATCCAGCTACTGTGAAAATGCCGTGGAACAGAGGCAAAAAAAGTTTGCAGCGCCACTGAACCACAGTACTTGTAAAATGGTTCCTTCATCCGGGTGCTTGTAAAATGGTTCCTTCATCCGGGTGCTGTCTGGCAGTGGAAATTCCCTGGAACAGAAGCGAAAAAGCTGCGCTGCCACTGAACCACACTGTTTGCAACATGATTCCTCTGTACTGCCTAGCTGTGGAAAGGCTGCGGAACAGCTGGCTGCAAGCCAAGCTTGCACAACCAGCTGAAACGTAAACTGAGTGAGAACAAGCAGGCAAAGGTTGCGGCCATGTCGGCATACGGGGCCGGGGAGGCGCTGGCACACCCGAAGTCTGCCAGTTTAAACCTGAACTGCGACCGGTCGAGCGCCGGTTTTTGCATGCGAAAGTCACAGGCCCGCGCAACCCGTCCTGGCCCAACAGGACATTTTTGGGCTTGACGTCGCGGTGCAAGTAGCCAAGGCTGTGCACAGCACTTACAGCCGTAAGCAGCTGCCGAGC